GGGGGGGGGGGGGGGGGGGGGGGGGAGGGGGAGGGGAGTACTCGCGTTGTTGCTGGCTTCGGTTGGGGGTTATTCGTGATGGCCTCCAGGGCAGGGGTGGGTACCCATATCCGTGCACGCCTGTAATCGTTAGACCATTGATCTCGCACCTCAACGAAGCTGGGGCCGGCAGCGGGGGGGCGTACTCTTATGTTTTGCATGTCTTAGCGGTTAGACCACTGACCACGCGTCCTCGAGAGGACGGAGCATTGTTCCCACAGGACCGATCACCGATGGCCAATCGTTCCTTCTGCCGGGGGGGGAAGGAGTAACCAAGAGTGCATCTATCTGCAGCTTTGGGCATCTTGTCCCGCCGCGCAGCTGTTTGGGCACTATAATTTTTGCCAGAGAGCACACTTCGCCCGCCGGTGTGCGTTTGAATTGGTCAAAACTCTCCGTGAGCTTGCGAACCTCCTCCTTGAGATGAAGCATAAATTTCCTTGCACGAGATACAGACAGGAATGAAAGATAGTCGACGGAGTGAGGGTGGCGGCCCCTCAGCTTTTCTGTCTCCCCCATGCCGTTTGTTTGCCTTGAGTCGCCTTAATGCAAAACACAATAGAGGTCAGCATCCTCTCCCCCCTTTTAGTCACCTTTGGCAAAATAGGAAGGTAGCATTGGCCATCGGTGATCGGTCCTGTGGGAGCAATACTCTGTCCGCTCGAGGGCGCGTCGTCAATGGTCTAACCGCTAAGGCATGCAAAACATAAAAACACACAAGAGTACCCCTCCTAGAAAAACAACAACCAACTACAATCAAAACGAACAATGGTCGCCGTTTCGCCTCCAGTCGACGGTGGCAGCAGCCCCGTCGTATCACCTCCGTCTCCCACAAAAACAACACTAATGACGACGACGATCGGCGTCAGCAACAACAACAACAACAACAATCAACCTACTTGCCTCGTTGCGACGGAGGCAGCCCCTCGACCTCTTCTCTCAAGGCCTCCGCAGCCTGGAACTCCTCCGCCTTCTCGCACGCCCTGATAGCCGCGATGTAGCAGATTTCATGCGGCGGGACCCCCTTTCCCTTCATCTCGTGCACGAGGGCGACCGCCTTCTCCCACTCCCCGGCAGTCCCACACGCAATTATCGTCGCCTTTAGGGGCATGTGGGGGCGGGAGGGGGGGTACTCATGTTTGGGATGCCTTCGCGAATAGACCATTAACCACGCACCCTCGAGAGGGCGGGGCGGGGGGGCGGGGGCGGATATCGTGATAAGAGACGGCGAACGGGGTCCCGGGAAATGAAACGGCAAACCGAAAACTCCCGGCGGCGGGGGGGGCGATCCTCCCAACCCACGCAAAACGCTTTAGGCCGATACACACACGGGGTGGCTACAGCTGTGCCTCTTGTGCCCTTCATCATAGCGACACGACAAAGAAGCACCAACTACCTCAAGACTTTGAGGTATTGCTCCAACAAGAAAGGCTCCGCGTCTCAGCTTTACCTCCGGCGACGACGGCGAGGACACCCGGTGACACTGGACTCGTGACTCGCACAATTATAACAGCCGGTAGGACGTTTGGCGCCTCCGAGGGACAGCAGTGCGTGGGGGCTCCAATATTCGAGGGTCGAAATCGATTGTCACGGACTCAACCCGCAATAATTGGGCCTTCTTTACTCCGGAATAAGAGGGAGCTCCCTTAAAAGACGGTGCAGGGTCTTTGTCACACCACGGACCCACGACTGCTACAATCAAGGCCGAGAACGCACCATAACACCCATCCTTCACGGCAGGATATGCTCTTTGGAGACGGCTGTACCCTGTGCGCGCAGTATGTGCGATGTACACCCACCTCGTAGGTCTTCGCATCCGGCGTTATCCCTTCCGCTACCGCTTCCCTCAGAAGCGTGAACGCCTGCTCCCATTGCCCTCCCTTCCCGCACGCCTTGATGGCTGTACAGCGACCGAAAGCAGAGCAAACAAAATTGGGTGGGCGGGGTTACTTGTCCCCGGCGCGCGATCTGTTAGGCGGGATTCCGCCAATCAGCGGAGTGTGCCACTTTCTCCGTGTATTGCTGCATTTTCTTTGACAAGAAACACTTGCTATTCTGTGGGCAGTCTAGCAGGGCAGTACATGGAGATGGACACATGGGTGGAATTCCTGTTCTAGGGTACTACCAGGAAATGTTGATTCCTGGTACGGTATGCTCGTACAAGAATTCCCCTCGGGTCCATGCAGCGGTGTGGATGGTACACGTTGTTGCTGTTGTTGGCCTCACACTACAAATAGTTCCGGTCTCCGCTCAGTA